AAACCCTAAACCCTAAACCTTGCATCTGTCGGGTGCAGGATAGCTACTTGTCGGAGTACTTTGTGCTCGAGGCGAGCTACCCGAATGCCATGGATGTGTGGTGCCTGAACCTGTACAGAGGCACGCCTCCGAGGGGGGGTTTAGGGTTTAGGGGGGCTGATAGCCAGAGTGTCGCTTTTGAATAGAGACATACAGGCGTCAATAATCGGCGCTACTACCATCTGCTAAACTCCAATCTGAACGTCCTCGAAGTGTAAGTGCCTGTAGTGGGCTATATTCAAACTAAAGCCTTTAAGGCTCAAGCCCTAAAGCCTGACTCACCAGAGCCAAATAGAGACAAGGGCCCTACATACGCATGACCCGAACGCTAGCGTCTACAGCCCCAAGTCTACCCTGCCCCTACCACTAGGTAAGAGGGTGGTGGGATTCTATGATGATGATAAGGTCAGAACGCATGTTGGGATGTTTCCCTAAGGGTCCCAAAACTCTCGGGAACCTCCAAAAGCCCCCAAACCCCAAACCCAAAACCCGAAACCCAAAACCCTAAACCCAAAACCCTAAACCCTAAACGCTAAGTGAGGGTTAAACCCTAAACCCTAAGTGAGATGTTTGAGGCCCCAAGGAGCGCCCAAGACGATCTGGTCGGGACCCGGGTTCCCCACCAATCTCGGTAAACTGCGAAGACCTCAGGGCTTAGGGTTTAGGGTTTAGGGTTTAGGGTTTAGAGTTTCCGGAAATAAGGGTACCCTATTTGGGGTTGCTTAGAATAAGGTTCCTACTGTTTAGGGTACAATATTAGGGTCCCCTCTTTTCGGAAATCCTAAACTTGAAAAACTCTGAACCCTAAACCCTATCGTACCGGTAGCCGCAAAGTCCTACCTTTTTGGGGTTCCTTATGATGGTTTCTGTATATGTGTATATATATAGAGAGAGAGAGAGAGAGAGCTCCTTAAAAATGTAGGACTTTTCGGTTACAGGTAGACCCTAAACCCTAGGGTTTAGGGCCCCCTCGCTGGTGCGAGGGAGCCTAAACCTCACAATGAACATTCTGTAAGGGTTTAGGCCCCCTCGGTGGCCCGAGGGAGCCTAAACCTCACAATGAACACTCTGTATATAATGCCTGCTTAAAACCAAGCTCTAATGTAACCCTTCCAAAACCTGTAGACACCCTTAAAGAGTCCTGTGCCACGGAAAAGCACTTTAGATCAACCCTCCTGAAACCTTTGAACACCATGTACCAAGATCTTCCAATATCCCCTAATTATGGAATGTACTTCAAACTTTAGTAGGATCCGTAATATGATTTAAGGTATCTGCCTCATTTAAGGTACCTCAGCTCCAAACTCCAAACTCTCCTAGGCCCCGTATATATTATAGATCCCTTAACTGAACCCTTAGTGAACCCTTTCAGGGATATTGGAAAGTCTGGGTAATACCTGAGCCATCGGGCCCTTGCTAGCGCAGGGACCACCTTCGGATCTCTGTTCAGCACGTACCCGCGACTCGGTTTAATATAGAAGCCGACAAAATTACCACATTATTCATAGGGTTCCTTGTAAATATATTGCAAAGCAGCCCCAAAGCTTATTCTGATCATTAAGGGCCCCTACATTAGGGTTTCGGGTTTAGGGTTTAGGCAACTGAAGCGTCCCCCACTCTACACCCAAGCCCTAAATCCTATAGCCTATATCCTAAAGGCCCTCAATTAGTAGAGTTTAGGACGGGGTCCTTGGGGTAGGATTAATTACTTCAGGGCTTTGCCATCTCAGGGGGTCCACATATACTACAATTATGGAGTTAGGCCCCAAAAGACCATCCTTACTATTGTTTGGGGTATCTACTTCCATAATAGTACTATATATGGGCCCTCTAAGTATGAGATGTTAGGAGGCTGATTGGTTCTCGTTGGGCTTTCGAATTCGGGCGTTCGAGCCTCAGCCTGTTTAGGATTGTGCACGTCAGAGTCTTGCATTGGCTTATGTCAACGATGACTCCAAGGACTGATATGTTGCGGGATTCCGAGCCTTAGGGAGAGAGGTTGGTTGGGAGGTCTGCTTTAAACCCTAAACCCTAAACCCTAAACCCTAAGGCTCTTCTGACTTCGCATGTCGAGTTAGTATCCCCGAAAGCACCTCTAAAAGAACCCAAAGCCCATCATTAATGTCAACCATCGCCCTTAAGCCCTGGAGTGCTGAGCTGCTTTTGTTTTGGGAGGGGGGGCTTAGGGGTGTAGGGTTTGTGGTTGAGGGCGAAAGGTCTGGGCTTTTGGGTTAAGTGCTTAGGGTTTAGGTTTTAGAGTAAACCGCCAGCTCACCCGCCACAATCCTGTGCAACAGTATCTACGATGCAAGCATAGTCTTGACAGCAGTTTACCAGCACTACCTGTGACCCCAAACCCTACAAAATCGTAGGTTATGACCCCTTAATTAGAGGGTAGAACCCTTAAACCGGTAGGTTATTAGATCCCCAGGTAGCACTAATAGTGATCGCCTGGTAGTGTGCTGAGATCCCTAAGTCGTGCCAGAAGCCGCAATCATCTCAGGGGTCGAGTCGAAGGTCTTTGCACTAAACCGCAAGCTGCTATAAATCTTAGCTGTCGCCGGTTTAGGGTTTAGGGTTTAGGGCTTCCGACCAAGGAGCAACTTGCCCATGCTCATCACTGAATATGGTGCAGACGCCTGGGATGGCTACAACCAGCCCCTTGGCCTTCGATTGTAGGAGCTCGGATCATTTGCTGGCATTGAGCTTAGGGCGCACAGGTTAGAGCATAGAATTGGTCATGGAGATTTTGGGGCATGAATAGGGTTAGGGTCTAGGGTATCAACTCGCAACCCTAAGCCCAAACCGGATTCACGTAAGAAAGCCCTTAGTAGAAGCGTGAACCTTAAACAGTTCTTATCATGTTTGTGGTATATTGTATAAACCCTAAACCCTAAACCCCTAAACCCTAAACCCCTAAGCCCTAAACCCTAAACCCTAAACCGCAAAGCCTTCCAAAACCTTGTTCGGATTATTAAGGACCTATATTTACTTAGCCCATACGGATGGGTTTAGGGTTTAGGGTTTAGGGTCTGCATTACCCATAATTCCGAGTATACCAGAATTCCCAGAGTTTAGGGTCCTGGACCCATGGTTCGTGTTGAACCCCAAACTGACTCTTCGACTTTCTTGATACTCTCCGGCCTAAAATGTTTAGGGTTTAGGGTAATAGGTTTTTTCATAGGGTAAAAATAGGTGTATATATATATATATACAGAGGGTCTTATAGGCTTCCAGAATAGCTTCTATACTTAGAAGAGGGGCTCTAAGCAATTTGGGAGTGGGGTATGGTCTAAACTCTTTTCAGCCTAAACACTACCTCCTAGACATAACCGCAAGCCCGAAGCCCTAGACCCTGAAAAGCCTAAACCGCTAAACCCCTAAACGCCTAAACCCCTAAACCGTAAACCCTAAACCCTAAAACGGCAAACCCTAGACCCTAAACCCTAAACCCTAAAACGTCAAAGCCTAAACCCTAGACCCGAAGGCCTGAATTTGTCGGGCTTGGACATGCCCTGGCAAAGCTCCATGGAACCGCACATTTCTCCCAAGCCAGTGATGTAAGAAACATACCTTGGATAGCAGTAGCTTACGGTTTTTGGTACAAGGTTTAGGGTTTAGGGATTAGGGTTTAGGGTGGCAATAGCAGGGATCTCTGTGCAGCTCAACTTGTCTTCCCCTATCCTATGCCTCTTCATTTAGAAGGTTTTGGTGTACCCAGAGACTCCAAAACCCCTTAATTAGGGAATGAATATACCTTGAGTCATATTAGGGATCCTCGTATAATTTAAGGTATATTCCTTAATTAAGGGGGTTTGGGAGTCTCTGGGTATCTACAGTAGGAGCCCAAGGGTTGCACACTCCATAGCCTCGATGCTTAAGAGTGATGTATAGGGTTTAGGGTTTAGGGTTCCAAGGGTTTAGGGTTTAGGGTTTAGGGTTTAGGGTTTAGGGTTCCAATAGCCTCAATGCTTAAGAGTGTTGTTTAGGGAATCCCAGCACTACTTGTCCTTAATCCGGCTTCCAATTTTTTGGGGCTTTACAATAAACCCTAAAGCCTAGACCCGCAAACCCTAAAGTCTTTTCTCTAAACACTACAAACCCTGGACCCTAAAGCCCCAAACCCTATGAACTTTAAACCCTAAACCCCTAAACCCCTAGAGTAAACCCCTAGCCCTAAACGGGCAGGAGAGTCTGGACGACCAGGGCTTGGATTGCCCACAAGTACACACCCGAAGAACTCGCAGACGGCATCGTCGCTTTAGGGTTTAGGGTTTAGGGTGTAGGGTTTAGGGTTTAGGGTTTAGGGGTTCGGGTTTAGGGTTTAGGGTTTAGGGTTTTGGGGTTTAGGGTTCGGCTGCGCAAGGAGGAGACGAAAGCAACCCAAACAAAGCTACGCACGGATGATCCAGAGACTGAGGTGCTGTGGCCTTGGGTTTAGGGTTTAGGGTTTAGGGTCGAATCCACAGACATCCCATGAAGCGACTGGGCTTCTGCCCAGCGTGCCTCTGCAGTTGGTACAAATACCCTCTTAGAGCCACTAAAACGAGAAAACAACTGTATACCTCGCAAGCAAGCATTAGTCTTATTATCAAGGCCTTGACTTTAACCAGAGCCCCTCTACTTGGAGGTTCATGGGTAGTTATAAGTGGGGTGCTAAGTCCCCTAATATGGGTTATAAGTATAGTTACCCTACTTATAACCCCACTTAAAACTACC